AGTGTGCTGGTGACAAAACGCGTAGGGGCGAGAAGCATACATTGAGAGGTTATGGTGTGGGAGTTTATATGAATGGTTTTTTGACTTGGGTGAATTGGTTGTGATCTTCCTCGTTTTGTGTCCTTGCCTTTTTTGCTCTTTTCGCTCTCTTTTCTCTCGTCTAACGTGGTAACCGGTGGTGGATGACATGACACGGTGGCTCCGGAGGGTCCTTTGCTTCGGAGGTTCAAGCGTGATTGTCTGATGAACTCACGAAGGAAGATTAGCTGAAAGTGGGAGGGGCGTGATCGACTCCTCTCGCCTGAAGCCCTCGGGAGATGGGTAGCTATGGTAAAGGTTCGAGGACAGAGGATCACGAGTTTGATTAGGCGAGGTGCGATTGCGCTTATCGTGGGTATTGGCGGAGTATCTACAGTGCTTGTATTTTGTGGAAAGACTCTGGGTAAGGTGTGCCTGGTGTGGTACTTCGACTTGCGTGTTTCGGTTAGTTGTGTTAAGCGATAAGGGGATGAGCGGGGGGAATTTCAGAGAAGAGGAGTTCGATAGGCTATGGCAAGATGTGAAAAATCTAGTATATGATAGAGTGGTACCGATGATCTTTGTGGCATTAGAACTACCGAGTGAGAGTACCAAAGAAGAGTTGACGTGTGTTTTGGAGAGATTTTCTGCGCCGGCTGTATAGTGTAGGCTGTGTGGTAAGAGATAGAAGGAGGAGGAGAAGAAGGCAGCTAAGGAGGCGGAGAGGTAATCCGGAATGATGGAGAATCCGGGAGGTCCAATGATTCAGGGAATGGGGAATGGAGTCTCGGGGATGGGAACCAATCAGCAAGGAGGAGTGTCCTGTTACCTATGTGGCAAAGTGGGACACTATGCGTGAAACTGCTGGGCGGGAGGGAACGGCCGACCACCACCCGCACAGCCAACCGCCTTGGCAGGCTTAGGTGATGAAGAGACAAGGGAGTTTAGAGAGTATTTACGCGAAAAAATTAAGAAGAAGAAAAATTGGATGAAGAGAGGAGGGAGAGAGAAGAGGAGGAGAGAAGGAGGAGGGAAGAGGAAAATAGAAAGGAGAAAGAGAGATTGAGAGAGGCTGAAGCAAGGGAGGAGAGGCTTGAGGCGAGATTGGTGAAGCTGTTCACACAACACAACAAGGCGGGGGTACAAGGGAACTCGTCGGTGGAAAGGAAGAAATCACCAAGGACAAAGGCGAGCGTTTTGAAAGAAAGGCGAGCATTTTGAGAGAAATAACGAGCTACCTCGAGGAGTCCGAAGACGACAGCGAAGAGGTAAGGGAGGAAGCAGGGAGACTAGTAACGGCCATCAAGAAAGAAAAGGATGAGTGAGGAAGAAGCCAGAGTTTCCAAGATCAGAAGTGTGAGGAAAGAAATGAGAGAGGATCCTGTGAAGATTGAGGAAGAAGAGGAGGTTTGTACCCCTCCACGTGACCTGAAGGGCGAAGAAGATCAGGGGATTCTCGATTTCGCGATCGAATTGCATCGACATCTGTCCGAGAAAAAAGTTCCCGAACTTAGGAAGATCTGTAATCGTGAAGGAATTGAATGGTCCAGGAGGGACACAGTCATAGGCGAATTGGTGAAATGCAAGGCAAAATTAGCGTATGGCGAATTCGCTGAGAAAGGTAAGGTTGCTCACTTGTTTGAGAACTAAGTCAAGAGTATGGAAGGGTTGAGGAGGTTGATGGTAGACCGCCCCGGGATTGATAGTGTCGGGAGAGGGAGATTGAGCGTTGAGTACGAAGATCGGATTTTTCGATGTTTTCTTTTATGCGTGATAGAAGGATTCTGCCCATGGGCCAGGAAGTGGGTTGGGTGGTGAGCAGTTCTGGAAATGATATGTCCACAGCGAACCCGGAGGTGTACGCGTTGGTCAGCCCGTGGTGCCGCCATTTCTATATTGGTTGCACCACGGAAGCAGTTATCTCTTGGTGGTCCGATCACGTGAGCAAAGCAGTGGGTGGGGAGGTGGGGTGTGCACCCAATGTGCAGTCGTGGCTCCGGTGTTTTGGATGGAAGAATTATCTCGTCATCCTGCTGATAGATGGAGTCGATGATTTGTTTAAAGTAGAAGCGGGTTTAATTAAGAAGTTTTCCCCTGCGTTAAATATCCAGGGTAGAGGGCCTGAGGTGAAATGGAAGAAGAGGAGGAGAGGAAAGAGGGAGAGGGGGAGGAGGAAGTCCAATTCGTTGGGAGGAGTAATGTTGAAATTTAATAGTCGATCATCCCTTATTGATGTAGTGAAGGAAATAAAAAGGGAAGAATAGAACCAATGGATCACCTCATCTGGCAGGGATATGTGGTTGGACCGGTGGAGGGTGGTGAGGAGAAAGATAGGAGATACGACATTATGGGTGAATGGAGTAGAGACTCCTATCAGGGAGTGCAAAAAGACGCTAGAGGAGGGTGGAACGTATCGGGTAGGGAAAGTGGCGATCATGCCGTCAGGGATTGAGCATAGGAAATTTGTGTTGAGGGACGTACTTCGRCAACCGTGGAGGGTGAAGGGGTTRTATAGGAAAGGTGCGCAGGRGTTGGTGGCRTTGTTYCRGACCGGATCGTGGTTTGGTCAAACAAAGACGCAGAATCGGATTAAGAATCTTATCAACAGGATTGTGAGAAGGAAATTCGGAGTAGAAATAAGGAGAAGACCTTGCGTGAGAGTTCCTTTTTCTCCGGACCTGAAAATGGGGGAGGTGAAAGAAGTAGCAGGTAATACAATTCGGAAAGGAGGATTGGAGATGCATATTGTCGGGTTCGTTGCGGGAAGGGTGAGAGTGGTTACGACAAAGAAGGCTTCGGTTGGGATGATTATCCACAATCAGTGGAAGTACGCAAAGATAGAAGAAGTCCTCTGCGCATGTGAAGGGATGAATCTACCAAGACATGAAGGCCATGTTCGGGTGAGGGTGAACGATATAGAAGAGTTACCTTGTTTTGTTTGGAACTCTCGCAATGTGACGAAGGGCGACGTTGTGTCCCCTTGGAAGATGGAAAGGTGTATTTGGGAAGGGGTGAGAGAGTGGGTGACGTGGGAAAAGAATCCAGGTATCATGGGGCAGGTGGTGAGGTGCTACAAGAAGGAGAGAGGATCTAAATCCGAGGCTATGACCACTACGGAGGTGCGGAGGGTGTTCTCGGGTTGTAACAGGTTGGTTGCAGTGCCGATAGACCGTAATCCTGGCGCGACTCTGCTGATATGCCCGGCAGCTTACCATCGGGCATGCAAGGATACATTTGGAAGAAATCCGAGCTTCCGGGTAATTCCTGAGGCCGAGGATAAGATACTGAAGACGATGAGAAGCGATTATGAGCAGCTGGGATTGACAAGTATTGCGAGGTGGCAATCTGGCGGGAAGATCGACCTTGCGTACGTTTTACTGAAAGACAAGGATCTACAGCGGTGGAGGCCAATATCCCCAAGTACCTGTGATCCGTCCAGGCTGGCCACAACTCGAGTTGGACGCGCTATTCGATATATGCTGTTCGGCTTGTCAAGGAAGGAGCACTTCGATTTGAAGTCGATGGATGAGGTGGGGGAACGCAGTAAGACCATTGAGAGAGAGTTGGGCAAGTCGGCGGACGGCGCGTTTGCTCGGAGCTATGACATCAAGGATATGTTTGCACGCTTGTCTCACGAAAGCGTGGTGGAGGCAGTAGAGTGGGTGGTGAAGTATCATCAGAGTAAAGGGTTTAAAGGGGTACGGGTGAGCTGCTAGGGGAAGCTGTGCGCAATGATGAGGAAAATTAGGAAGGAGGAAGGATTCGTGACCATGACCTTCGAAGAAATTTGGAGAGAGGTGGGGTTTGAACTTTCTCATTCGTTTGTCCGCTGTACGGGAAGTTTGTTGAGACAAAAGATGAGAATTCCTATGGGGAGGAATTCGAGCCCGGCGCTAGCATGTTTGGTATGTGCCAGGGCCGAATCAAGGTTCATGGCGGTGACGCGGAGAGAAGGGGGAATGATGAGAGGAATGAAGATGATAGATGACGTGGCGGTGATCGCTACATTTGCACGGGGTAATGAGGTATCAATTAGGAAAGCAGCCGATTTGTTGGACCGGTTTGAATGCTGCTATGATGAGAACCTCAAGTTGATTCGTAAGGACGAAGGGGGTAATGCATTTGATTTCCTTGGGGCAAGAGTGCTGGTGGACATTGAACCTGTTAAGATCCACGTCTTCCCTAGGACACGGAATCAGCAATCCCCGTCCAAAGACGGAAGGTTGAGGGTGCAGTCGATCCAGGATTTCGCTTCATTCACGAAGAAGAACACGAAGAAAGCAGCAGTGTATGCGAATCTTGTGAGAATGAGAAGGCTGTCCACTTCCGATGATGCTTTGAAAGTCGTCATCGTTGCACTGATGATTGAAACTCGCCTCCGGGGGTACCCCTCGGAGGTCTCTCTCGGGGCCCTAGCCAAATTCGCTAGGATGTCCGGGGGTCTGTGGGGAGTATCCCGGAATGAGGAATTTCTAAAAAAAAGGGGCACGCATGGGTTTCGTATGGGGTGGGCGGCTCGGGGGGGAGTGGTACCCTCACTTCGGAATCGGGGTAGGCCCGAAGGTGTCGATTTGATGCTGATAGTCCTGTATACTATCCGTTTTTGAAATCACGGTTTTTGGTAGGAACGGGGAAAGCTCCGGTGAAATCGATCTATGGTAACGMGCMTGTGGGCCAACCAAGGATTCCAGTGTAATGTACTCGGTCGGGTTTTTTGGTTTGCTACACTTGAAGTAGTAGTATTAGCGAATGCTCCAGGAAATCGGGAGCAGGGAATTTTTGATGTCCAAGTTTAGAAGGAATGCGAGGTGGAGGAGTGAAACACACGAAGGGATCGGGGGAGAAGAGAGTCTGCAGGGTTGGGAACCGTGGGAACGAAGGGAAAGTCGGGGATATGTCAGAAGGTGACCGGTGAGAAAGAGGAAGGGGTGTATGGAAAAAAAAGCGGAGGGTATTTCCTGCAGTGTACTTTGGCGAGGGAAATGGTGAGCAGGTGAGTATGCGTAGTGAGACGTTTATGAGACGAGGAAGAAGAAAGGGAGGGAAGGGAGGAGCATAGTTAAGAGTATGATGGGAGACGTGAATAGGGAGGCCGAGAAATGAGGAAGACAAGTATGGCAAAATTGGGAAGAGGGGGCGAATCGGTAAGGGAAGGGAGAAGGAGGAACGATCTGACAAGGGAGTATTTCCACCGGATCAAGGGAAGGTTGGGTTGGAAGGGGAACAGGAACGGATGCTGAGTTCGGTTTGCAGAAGGCGGGGGTTGCCGAGCCGAGTGAAAAATGGAAAGTATCAACGGAGCAAAGAAAAACGCGGAGTAAAGGTGAGTGAAAAGGCAACGGGGATAACTCGATATCGGATTGATTTAGGAAGTGATTCGCCTCGGAAAAAAAAGGGGGAAGGGGAATGAATCTGGATAGGAAAGGAGAAGATTAAGGGAGAGGAGGAAAAAAAGAGAGGAGCGAGAACTAAGAGAGTTGGGTAGGASGAGTCGAAGGGGAGATCGGGTGTACCATATGGAGAGAGAAAGGAATAGGAGGGGAGAGGGTGTGTC